TTTTTTTTTTTTCTTTTTTTTTGCTTGACCAACCCACTTCTTTTCTTTGTGGTGATATTTTTTTTTTCCAATGTAGTTGTTCTAAATCATTGTTTCTTATAAAACCCAGTGTATCTCTTTTTTTTTTTTTTTGATTGTTTGTTCTTCTTAGCAGTTGAGAAGTAAAGAAGACAAATAAACTAAAAGAGAGAGAGTGAGTGATCGGGGTCTTGTTGTTTTGTTTAAATGTATTAATTCCTCTTATTTGTCAAAGGGTTTGGGACACAACTCCTGAAAAACAGATGGGTGAAGGGGAAAGAACCCAATACGTAAAGGAAAAGTCAGCAAATGCATGGTCTAAATATTCATAGTTCAAAGCAAAATCCTGAGTTATAATTCTATTAAAGAGAAAAAAAAAAAATTTTCTTCGTCGGCGTGTATACCTTTCTGTTTTTATTTATTTATTTCTTTGTTTTGTTTCTTTAACCACCTTCTCATTGATCTCGAATTCTATGTGTATTAAACTCATCGAGTCAAATCCAAAAAAAAAAAAAAAAACAAAGAGAACACGTGACCATTTCATTTCTAACGACTTTGTGTTTTATGGGGTACACCCCTATGTTTCTATCCTCCACTGCTTACACCTTTCTTTATTTTCCTTGCTTCCTCTTCTTTTTTTTTTATTGTTTTCTAACTGCATTAGATTTAATCTACGTGGTGACTCCCAATACCCACAAGGAACTCCCATATACATTATTAGTGCGCATAGTTGACTCGTGTGGGACGTTTATTTTGGTTACTGTATCATCATAATGGTTTTTTGGGCGAAAAAAAGGGGCAAAAGGAGTGATGTCGGAGAAAAAGCTCCTGATAAAAATGAAGTGAAGCCCATGACAGAATATGAGGATGGTAATTATAATGAGAATTCGGGTGATGCAGTGTCTTTGAACTCTAAAAAATATGATGCGACACCATATTACGATCGAACTGAAACGTATGAAGGCACAGAAAATGGAGAAGAAGCAGAAGCATATGAGGGCACAGAAAATGGAGAAGAAACGTATGAGGGCACAGAAAATGGAGAAGAAGCATATGAGAACACGGAAAATGGAGAAGAAGCATATGAGGGCACAGAAAATGGAGAAGAA